CACACACACACACACACACACACACACACACACACACACCCTGCCCGTGCTGAAATGGGCGGGAATAAAGTGGACGGAGGTTTTAAAGAGACAGAGGCCAATTTCAAGGTGTTTAGAAACAGATATGATGAGAAGTCAAGTTTATTTTCCATTTAAACACATAAACAACATTTTAAGAAACAACTGAAGGTGACATAGTTATTTTTATTATGGTATAGAATTTAAATATATGCCTGAGAAAGACATAATATTGCCCCTTTAAATATTAACTTCTTTCACTTCAATGCACTCGTTTCTTTCCTTTTTTTTTCAATTTTAAAGTATTGTTATTTTCCATTGACGTACAATACTGAAGGGATAAAATACAGTATATCCTTTAACAATAGTTTAATCACTGGCTTTACAGTGATTTACAATGACACTACAACAAAAACACAACAAGCTGTGTGTTGAGTTGAGATATTTTCTACAGAAAGTACAGGGGTGAGGTTACAAGAGCAGAATAGATGCGCTGCCATCTTTTACATTATTCATCGGCCACACTCATGTTCCCTCTGGATCTTTGTCTCTCTATAAGAAGTTGTGGTAGTGTGTGTTTGCATGTAAATGTGTGTATATGGGAGAGTGTTAGGTTCATTTCAGGGTCTGTTCATTTCTTCCCTTCTTCGGATGATAAAAGCTTAGCTGAACTCATGAACACTGTGAAAACAGTAAGCMAATCTGAGAGCGATGGTAAGAAATATAGTAACAAACTGCAAGAGAAGCTTCCAAACACATGTACATACAGTATTTCTGAAGGTGGGGCTTTTTTGGGGGAAGAGAAAATAGGTTTTTTCCATTCTTTTCTGCTTTRMCTGATGTATTCTTGTGTTTTAATGYGTTTCAAGCAAATTCAGCAACATGGAGCATACAAGCAGGGAGAAAAGAGACAGAGGAAGAACAAGAAGAKGGCAAATCCTCAGAACATCAGCGAGTTTCCACTTGTCATCACTGCTGCAGACTGAAAGATGACTCAGTGGGAAGCTCTCCCAACACTCTCAGCCTAAAAGTATGAGCTGCATTTTATCTACTGGTTTCATAAGAATTGACTTTTTAAACTGCTTTATTCGAAACAGGTTGATCTTGGAAGGAGAGTGAGAACACGCAGCATACTGAAGTATTAAATTAAACTAATAGCAAGAATTATTTAAAAACATCTGTTGATTCAGTGTTTTATGTTATAAAGGTGCTTTATTAAATAAAAATTAGTTTAGTGGTTCATGCGCTATTTGAGTAACAGTTAGACACACAAGCCCCCAGACATAAAGATTTTGGCAAAAATGTCTACATTTGTCTTCCAGCTGTGACCAATAATAATATTTTCAAGCAAAACCTGTACGAATTTCTAAATCTGGGATGGGCAACTGGTGCCCCATGGGCCAGTGACTTCTGTCTGGCCTGCCATTGAGGTCTCGTCCCCCTCTCAGAATCCAAAGATGCTACAATGACAAAGTAAAAAATAAAATAAATACATTTTATTTTTTTGGGAGGTAGGAGACCCATCAATTAATTTTTGTCCTCTGTGGGGGATATGCTATTTAGCCCTATATTTTAAACATCACACTTGCAATCTATGTAAGTCCCACTGTGCTGTAAAGAGGACATCCTGGGCTTTCTACTGGTGTCACTTTTGTGGTCATGTGACTATCAGAGCACATGTACTTGTTTTTTTTTAAATGGTGGAAATCCCCATTTCAACATTTTATGGCAACATGGTAGGTAAGTGATAAATTTCTTATCAAAAATTATTTATATTGCAAAAAATGACAATTCCTCATTAGTATGAAAGTCTGCACCATACGTTTGTACTATTTAAGAAATGTACAATATTATTAACCCTGTAAAAATACAAGTTTTATCCAGTGTCCTTTGTAGGGGACAGTGGGACTTGCTAGTGACGATCTTAAACACTTTCCATGCCTTGGAAAGTATAGGACTGAATGAGGCAGAAATGATTTAATGAGTGTTGTGGAAGGAGAGTCAGACATAGAGCTGTCAGGAGATGGTGAGGAGGAAGGCCAGATAGTAGGGCAGGTATGTGAAAGTTCAGAGGAAGACATAACAGTTATTGAGGAGCCTGAAGAGGAACAACATGAAGACACTTGCCAGCCAATACTGATGAAAAGTAATGTGTAAGTTAGGGTCATGGAATTTTTTGGTAATAGTGAGTGTGAATGAAAAATGTCAGCTTTTTAAAATTTGTAACACATAGACACAATAATGTAAAATTTTGTAACGGCAATTAAATATGCTATTACACATTTTGCATTACGTTAAAGTATAATTCTCTTTTATTTCAATAAACATAGTTTCAACCCTATTGTGGAGGAGAATCCCTTGCAGGAAAGCAATGGACACAACGGGCCTCATGCAAGAACATGTTCGTATTCTTATCCTAAATTTCTCTTACTTTTGTTCGTACAAAGGGTTCGTACGAACATGTCACGTCAGATTCAACAAACTCTTCTACACTCTAAAAAGAGAATAGTTGATCCAACTTAAATGAATTGTTTCAATTGGTAACAAGGAATTCATTTAAGTTGTTCCAACTTAATTTTTTAAGTTTGTTTAATTTGACGAATTTAAGTCAAACTTACTCAAAACATATAGTTTCTTCTAAATAATAAATTCACATCACTCTAACTTAATTTTATGTGAAGTAAACTCAAATGTTTTAAGTTATTCCAAACCAATTGCTTCAATTGATAACAAGTAATTTATTTAAGTTTATCCAACTTAATTTTTTAAGTTGGTTTAATTTGACGAATTTAAGTCAAACTTACTCAAAACACATAGTTTCTTCTAAATAATAAATTCACATCACTCTAACTTAATTTTATGTAAGGTAAACTCAAATGTTTTAAGTTATTACAAACCAAAAATGTGAACTATCCCAAACTACATTGTCACTTTCTTTAAACTTAAAAGTCCAGCTTGAACATAAATAAATTCAAAAGTGTGTTTTGCCATGATTTTTAGCTTTCAAATACAAGTAAAATACTTTCATTGTAATGAGAAATTTAAGTTGGCTGAATAAATCTCCATTGCACAAA